GACTTTATTCTGGAAATTAAAAAAATCTCTAACACCTGGCCCTAATTGTTCTGCAGGAGAAAAAACGAATGTTTTTTTATGTCTTGATCTTTGAACCAATTGTTGAGACAAAATAAGGAAGTGAGCTTTATGTGGATCAGGAGCTCCAACATACTGGTGATGAGGGAATTCATGATGATGGATGAAGCCTTGGTTTTCACCACAGCTGGGGCCTTAAAGATGGCGCCGTCCTGCACTGCAGCCTGTTTGGATGGACCGCCTTCATCTTCCTGTAAGAAAACCCCTGAGAGGTTAAACCATCCTGCTCTGACTGAATCCTCAGACATGAAGACCGTGTTCTGCTGTGTCGTTACCTCAGCGAGCTGGGAGAACTTCCTCTCTGGGATGATGGGCCTCCTCCACAGGTTGTTGATGCTGATGTCATGAGGCGGCGTGGACATGGGGGCCTCCAGGTTATCGTCATAGCTCAGGGCCCGTCGAGTCATTCCAACAGGAAGTCTCATCCCGCCCATCCCAGAACCCTCGATGGCTGCAGACCCCCCCCAGAGGAAGAATCACTGTTAACCCTTTGGCTTCAGGATAAACTACAAACATCTCCCTTAAAGAAAATGGCTTCCCTTCTTTTCACCAACAGTAAAATTCATACAAAATGATTTTATCTTTTAAAATATTTCTACAAGACATTTGTTTTTTCTACAGGTTTAGTTAAATGTACATTTTTAAATGAATTCTACAGATGTGAAAATGCATGTATGTGAAATGACATTTTTTAAATATTCTACATTAATTTATTAAAAACAAAATCAGCAACAATCTGATTTTTTTTTCATCCTATTCTACAAAAAGATGGACTAAAGGAAAATCTTCATTCTCAGACGGTTAATTGGTGAAAATGAAGTCAGGTTTAAATTAGTATAACGTTTAATGTAATGCAAAATATTTCCTATTATGTTCCTGAAATGAAAAACCAGCAGACAGACGTTTATCATTTTACTTGAGTGATTAGGAATACCGACAGCAGATCTACTTAAAAAGGAAAAGTTTCAATATCTTTTTTGAAATGATAAATTATGAATTTACAGACATTATTCTGTAAGGGTCATTTTAGCAGCATATAAACATTGGTTCCAATAGAATAATGTAGAAGTAGGTTAGGATCTAGAAACAAAAAGCTTTGCTCCATCCTGCAGGTTAACATGAGGAGCTGAACTAGTGTCGGTTTGAGGCGGTTTTTCTGACGGACTTTGACTCTGTTGATGTTCAGGTCAGAATCTTCCCACAGCTGGAAACTACAAACCAGCGATGGTGAATCTCTGGAAGGGATACGGAACGAAGGTGTGATCCTGTCTGGTTCAAATCTATTTCAACAACTTTCATTTTAGGCTTTTAGACCAACTTCTATAATGTAATCTAAGTATTTTTACTTAACTTGTTAAAATAAACTAAGGTTAAAGAAGCAGGATGCAGCAATGAAACACACCTCAGTCCAGCTAAAGCTTTAAGAAATAGAAACAGTAACGTTGCCTTTAGTCTCAACCGTTCATTTATTCCTCACCTGGTAGGTCACCAGAACCAGACATAACTGCAGATAGTTAATAAACAAGTTCAGTCAGAGGAGAACCTGAAAGACATAAACAGAAAACAGGGATTTCTAAACAGAAGAAGGAAATCAACAGGCTTAATTCAGTTCTATTCAGTTTATTTCTATAGCTCCAATTCCCATCAT